GAAACTATTTGTTCTGTAAGCCTTCACCTGAAGTACAATAAAATAAAAAAATTAAAAAAAAGAGAAAAAAATAAATAAATAAATAGAAATTGATAAAAGAATAGAAAAAAATTAACGCATGTCATGGAACATCGTAATCAAATTGCTGAAAACCAGTTATAAAAAGAAAAATGTTAAGATATTCACAAAAAAAAAATTTGGTTGGATGATCAACAAAGAAATGGAAGGGAAAAGTTAACATTGCAGAGATGAAAAGCATATTAGAAGTGACAAAACAGAAAAAACGCTTGACAACTCAGTCATGGGAGATTAGAGGAGACAGGCTTGAGAAAGCATACAAAACAAAATGGAAAAGAAAAAGGAGATACAAGAAATGTTACAGAGAAGATAACAGATATGGAAGAAATTCAGAGGTTATATCACCAGAGACAGATTTATCATGGATCTAATGAATTTTGAGCTTCAGGGCTTCTCGCTTGCATGGACTCCCTCGATGGCCCTGGGAAGGGCCCTAGCAATGTGTTCACATGGTCATTATTTTGGTAAAACTTGCAAACATTTATACTCAAGCTGCTTTTAGAGTTAAATGTCAATGTCATGATTTAACAAAAACGAAAATAACATACGAAAGTGAAAATGATAAGAGGAAGTATTAGTGTGTTAATTTTCTCATGGCAGGGAGTTAAAAGTGGAATATGTATTTTAAAAACATGATTCCAAGCCAAAAAGGAGAAAACAGACAACCAATACAAATATTTATGAAAGACTTGAACAGGCACTTTACAAAGGAGAATGAAACAAATAGCCAATAAACACATGAAAAGATGTTCAGTTTCATTAGTCATCAGGGAAATGCAAATCGAAACCACAGTGGATTACCAATCCAGACCCATCAGAATGGTTAAAATTAAAGGACAGAAAATACAAAGTATTAGTGAGGATATGTAGTATCAGGAACCCTCCAACAGTGCTGGCAGGGTTATAAATTGTCACACTTTGGAAAACTAGGAGTATCCATATCCACTGATCCTAAAAATATGCATACCTTATTACTCAGTAATTCTGCTCCTAGGTATAGATCCAACAGAAATGAATATATATGTTAACTGAAAGACACACCAGCCAAAACTAGAAACAATGAAATGCCTATCTACAGTAGAATGAATGAATATTCACATAATGCAATATTATGCAGTGATGACTATGAATGATATAAAATTATGCAATAATATGGTGAATCTCACAAGCATAATGTTGAGTGAAAGAAGCTAGACACAGAGTAAATTGTGTATGATTTCGTTTATATAAATTATAAAAAACAGGCAAAGCTAATCTGTGCTGTTGGAAGTCAGGAAGGTGGTTACCCTTACACAGGGAGAAGTGAATGGAAGAAAGCCAGGGTAGGGGCTTTTGGAGTGCTGGACATTTTCTGTCTCTTGATCCCGGTGCTGGTTACATGGTGTATTCACTTTGTGAAAATTCACTGAACTGTATACTTATATGTGCAGTTTTCCCTATATAGATTATATTTCAATAAAAGGTTTAAAAAATTAACACAAGACTGCAACCTCAAAGTTTTCCAAAATATTTTTTCTTAACTTCAAAGAAATCTATTAGAACTTCTTATGGTGAAAAGTCATTTATTGAAATTAAATAATTTCTTAAATATCTCAGTTTTCTTTGTTAAATTCAAGTATATTTTCATTTAATGCTTTAATTTAATACTTTTTATTTAAAATGCTACATATAAAATTATCCCATTTTTTATCAAATTATTTTTCTCCTTTTTTTTTCTCTTCAGCTCTCTTCCATTTGTATATATACATAAGAAGATGTTCAACAAATGCTAACTATGTTTATATCCAAGAGATGGGATTTAGGGTGCTTTTTAAAATTTCTTTTCTCGACTTTATTTTATATATATATATATATATAGTTTGAATTTTTTTATGATGAGCAGGTATATGTGTCATTTCAAATAAACATTAAAATAATTTGTTTAAGAAAGAAAGGCCAATCTTGTGTCTTATGCCTACATTCAGCCATAGCCATCAGAAAGGAAGATTTATAGGAACATATTCTACGCAAACTCTGATTATAGTTACTGTTATGGATTGAATTGTGACCCCCAAAAATGTGTGTCAATTTGGCTAGGCCATGATTCCCAGTATTGTGTGGTTGTCCACCATTTTGTGATCTGATGTGATTTTTCTATGTGTTGTAAATCCTACCTCTATGATGTTAATGAGGCAGGATTAGAGGCAGTTATGTTAATGCGGCAGGACTCAATCTACAGGATTAGGTTGTATTTTGTGTCAATCTCTTTTGAGATAATAAGAGAATTGAGCAGAGAGAAGGACCTCATACCACCAAGAAAGTAGTGCCAGGAGCAAAGCGTATCCTTTGGACCCAGGGTCCCTGTGCTGAGACGCTCCTAGAGCAGGGGAAAATTGATGACAAGGACCTTCCTCCAGAGCTGACAGAGAGAGAAAGCCTTCCCCTGGAACTGGCACCCTGAATTCAGACTCCTAGCCTACACTGTGAGAGAATAAACTTCTGTTTATTAAAGCCGTCTACTTCTGGTATTTCTGTTATAGCAGCACTAGATAACTAAGACAGTTGCTTAGCACCATTTAGCCAGTTTGAGGGCCATCCCTGTCTCTCATCTCTCAGTGGGATATGTTCAATTTGTCGCTTTGTAGGCAGGTGTATAACCATATAGGATGGTCTCATAGGGCAGAGACTACTTAGAAACTTTAGAAGGTTTTATGTTTGCTTTTTAAATCCATAATGTGGTAAAAAACAAAACAAAAAAAACTATTCAACTGACAATATCATTTTAATTTGTTTCAATAAAAAGCAGAGGAGGCACCTTGAATTTCTGTTATCAATCCTTTCTTATTATTTTTTAGAGTCTGATATTTCTTGTTCGAGACTGGAGTTTCCCATATGAATTTTCATATGGAGCTGATGGTGGCGCCAAATTCTTGGAAAAACGCCTCAAGGTTTGTTCGCTATCTAGGTGCATGGCATTTCACCAATAGAATCTGAACTGAACTGTATTATTTTTGTTGAATGATTTCCTGAATAGATACTCAGTAGCCACAATCTCAGTTAACCCTCATAGTATCTTTATGAACAAACTAAGATTGATATTTAATAAAATACTGTTAGTTACAATTTGAAATGTTATCAATCACTTTGATACAGATAGATTAATCGGAAATGAATTACTCCTAAAGATAAAAATTTTACTTTGAAGAATTAAATCAGTTCTAGACTATCAGTGTAAATATCTAGATTCATGTTTTTTTACTTAGTAGAGTTTTAAAAGTCAATTTAACAGCAATACTTGGTTTTGAAATCCGCAAAGTCAATCCTAGGATATTTTGCTCATTGTTTACAGGAAGTGAAATTAGCAGGCTTTCCATTTTTCACATCATGATAGTTTAGTATTATCTGAGCTGTTCACATTGAGCAGACATCACAAAAATCTATGGAGAAATCAGAAATCAGAAAAAACCAACAAACAAACAAACCTGAGATTAGAAGAAGTTCCTTGATAATCACAGATCTCTGAACTTACCTGTTTATAGTTACTTTTAGGTAGTTTGTCTGTACTAAAAAGCTGGCAAATACATGTTTAAAAAAAGACCAATTTAGCTTATAAGTAAACACCCAGCTGTTAAGATGCCTTTTGAGAATTTAGATGTATACTTACCAGGTGACAAGACACTGTCTTGAATGTCTCCTGAAGAGAAGGTAGGAATATCTTATGATCTATTTGTGTCTCCTGTGTGTACTTTGAATTAAAGAAAATTTGAATTTATAGTGACTAGCTAGAGTAAAACCCTCCTAATTTGTACTAAAAATGGGAAGGCCTATCTGAGTTAGTGTAAAAGTAGACAATCATTAGTTGTAATTAATTAATTATACTATGTGTATGCTATTCTTGGAGCCCTGGTGGCGCAGTGGTTAAGATCTTGGGTGCTAACCAAAAGGAGGTCGGCAGTTCGAATCCAGCAGCCACTCCTTGGAAACCTTATGGAGCAGTTATACTCTTGTCCTATAGGGTCGCTATGAATCAGAATCAACTCAACGACAATAGGTTTTTTTTTTTTTTAACGCTATTCTTAGATACGGCAGCGTGAGCAAATTTACCCAAGACTTTATTCTTTCTTCAGTAGCAACCTACCATGTCATTTTTATCATTGTGGGACCAGACGGACATAGCAAATACAAGATGCCACAGAATTCCTTTGGAGTTCAGTTTATGTTGAAAGTAGTTTAAACTTCAGAATGATTTACTGCAGGTCTCAGGGAATCAGCATGAAGAACTGCAGAATGTTCGAAAACACATCCATTCCTGTTTCACCAACATTTCCTGTTTTCTGCTACCTCATCCTGGCTTGAAAGTAGCTACCAATCCAAACTTTGACGGAAAACTGAAAGGTTTGTCTTTTAATGAATATGTTTGCATCTGTCTGATTATGAAAAGTTATCCACTAGGCTTATGACTGCTAGTTTAGTTTATCCACTGATGTGAGGCTGATGATTAGAAATTGTTAGGAGAATTGGGAATCCTGGGCTGGTGCTAGAATGCCTCCTGGATGAACTCTGGGATTCTATGGGTGCGGAAGGTGTATACTGACTGCTAAAATAGGCCAAATCCTGCATTAACCTAGGAGGCAGTACCCCTAACCCTCACCTCTGTGCACTGAGAAATGCTCTTTCATGTCTTTATGCTTAATTTTCCTTATTTACATTAAAGGGAAAAGTAGACATCTGTCTTTTGGGGATGTTGTGTTAAGTTATGTAATTAGAGATTGAAAAAAACATAGCATAGTACTGAATGCAAGCTCTTTAAAACTGCCACTAAATAATTACAAATTATTAAAAACCTCACTAAAAATAAAACCCTGTCTGGATGAGAAGCAGTTTCTTAAAAAGAAAACAAAAAGCACTAGAGGATTTTTGGAATAGTATATACTAATACTTTGTAATTATCTCTTTAACAGAGGCATGACTAATGTTTTCATGATCCCAAAGTAACTCATTTAACAAAAGAGGGAGCAGGGGTCTGGGGAAATGGAAATTGATCTTTCTTAGTAGATAATCACCAGGTCATTAGATATATGCTTTGCAGTTAAATAAGGTATAGTACAAAGGCATTTCTGACCTTTTTTACTGGTAAGTCTAGAAGTAAAAACACCACTGAATTCAGACATTTGCTTAATTTACGGTGGACTTTCTGCATTGTGTCGGGCAGGACAGTGATGTAACAAGCTTTTCTGCACGATTGTTCTAAAAGTGATTTAAAATTACTTTAAAAAAACAACAGTAAAACTTGTAGCCAATTTATGGAAATTGGCAGATTTAAAAAGTAAAAGTATTATTTTTTCGCCTGTATCCATGGCATTTGTTCTCAGATAACTTTTATTTAACTTTGGCAGTTAGTATCACAATTAGGGTCAATCATTAGCATTGTTTTTATACATGTTTTAAATTATCTTACCTTTATACAACAGAATAGATAGCTTAAGTAAGAACACATTAATGCATAGATGCCAGGATTCTATAATTTCACTGTTACTACTCATGAATTCGGAGCCCTGGTGGCACAGTGGTTAAGAGCTTGGCTGCTAACCAAAAAGGTGGCAGTTTTAATCCACCAGCCACTCCTTGGAAACCCTACGGGGCAGTTCTGCTCTGTCCTGTGGGGTTGCTATGAGTCAGCATCAACTTGATGGCAGTGGATAGGATAGGTATTAAACCCCTGGGTGGTGCAAACGGTTAACGATTGGCAGCTAACCGAAAGAGTGAAGGTTTGAGTCCACCCAGAGGCATCTTGGAAGAAAGGCCTGGTGATCTACTTGCAAAATATCAGCCACTGAAATTCCTTTGGAGCATAGTTCTACTCTGACACACATAGGGTAGCCATGATCAGAATCAACTTGATAGCAACTAGAGTGAACACATAGGCCTCTTGATACTCTGCAATTACCTAATGGATTCAATGTGTTTTGAATCAATTACATAGAGGGCTTCCACAAGTCTCTCTTTCTTCTCTGGAGTTAAGGGACTGTAAACAGGCAGAGGAGGGTCAGGCCTTCAACAACAGTCCTTTATTGGGACAAAAAAATACTCTAGCTTGTTCCATTACTTAGTATACTGTTACGGTTCTTAAATTAACTGATACATTTTGCACTGAAAGAGCTCAGAAAATCACATGGATATAGAATCCCACTTTTTAACAGATTTGTTCTCTCCCAGATTTTACTCATGTCTAAACATATATTGGCCTATAGAATTAGTTTATAGTTACTCATAAGTTGTGGGTTTACCAAAGTAAACCTAGCCTGGGAGAAAGAGAAATGAAAGGCCACTTCAGTTGTCCATAAAAAGTTCCATTTTAATGAGGCTTTATATACCTTATAGGAATGATGCTAAATTCCTTTTGTGTGCAGAAATTTTCTACTTTGTCTCAGAGTTTCCTTAGGCAGTTTTGGAGGTCTGCTATCTACATTATTCTTCCATTCCATCCTGAATCTTATAATTTAGTGTAATTTCTATCCAGGATGTCTTGTCAGCTGGTCATGCTGTTCTCCAGAGGGCTGGCATCTGAGTGGGGGGCGGGGGGGGAATGTCTCTGAATAAACAATCCTGTAAAAATTGTTCTTTGATAATTTCTCACATACTCTCTCACACACATAAATAACTTTGTAGTTCATTATCGATAGTAATATTTGTTATGATTACTATTTTTCATGGTTCCTCACATTATTGCAATTGTTATTCTCATCTATTTCCAGTGTTATTAAAAACTTATAGTATGATTATATTTAATTCCTATTGATTTAATAGCTTCCCGCATTCAGAGGAAACCAAAAGGATCAAAAGTGCTGAATCACATTTATTCCTTCTACATTCAGCCAGTTGTTATTGAGTGCCTATACTGAATACCTCTCTTAGCATAGCAAATATGATCTTGTAATTCACTAAGAGTTATCCTTTTTTGAGGTTGCTCTTTGTTATAGTACTTTATGTGGAATGACCAGGTAACCACATCATAAGTTGTGAAGCTGCTTCCTTAGTAGCTCCAGTTAGATTTCAGAAAGCATAACCAAATGCCATAGCAAGGTGATTATTTTAAAAAGTGTGTTTCTCATGATTTGCCAGAATCAGATAATCCTGAGAAAATATCTTCCTTGGTTAATTCACACAGCAATGCTACACTGGTGCATTTGCCCTGTGGAGTTCTTAAAAAGTATGCATCATGTTCCCAATTATTGACAGATACATACTTTAGCCTAGCCCCTGGATTCCTAGCATAGTTTTACTTTTGTGGCAAAAATTATTGAAGAAAAGATGAAAACAGAACATCATCCTGAATAATCACCTACCCACACATATTTATTGAACACTTGCAGTGGACCAAAGCTTGTTGACATTACAGTTCACCCTCTAAATCTGCATGAGAGCAGTAGAGGTAATTCTCAACTCTTATTGTTGAACATGAATATGTCAAATGATTAAAAAAAAAAAATCTGTTTTATGTGCCCCTCATACCCAGAATACATTTCATAGTGTCTAGTTCAGAGCCTTCTTAACATGCACTCTTTTAGTCTATTCAATTGCTCAAGTATGGTAAAGAAAAATAATGATAGCTTACTTTCTTGAATTCCATTAATTCTTGGAACAAATTCAGATTCACTGCCAAAAACATGGTTTCTTTAAATCTTTGTGTTGCAAATAGCCAACACAGAGCTGTTTGCTGTAACAGAGATTGATACAAATACTTCTGACTAATTTCGAGAAGATCTCTGCCAACAAGTTCTTCCCTGAAATGATCCTGCAGGATCAATATGGACTCTTAATCAAGGCAGGCTTTCCAGCTGTTTTCCTTTCTTGTTGACATTGACTCCAATAGTTCACAGTATTTCCAGTATAAGTCAATTCACGGTACTCAGGCATAATTTTGACCCAGTACAATGCCTTGAGTAGTTCCCAGAGTGCTTCATCTATTATGACGAACGTATCTTGATAATCACTTCTGGAAACTAATGAGATTTCCTAATAGCAGACTTCTAAAAATAGTTATATCTAGTGAGCAACTTGACTTCTTCAGCAGGTTTCTCTATTGACAATCCCTTTTCCATATGGTTCAAGATAACCACCACCCAGTTAGGCATGCCATTTGATCAGCCTGAAAAAGCTCAGATGTTTTCTAATATCAAAACTCCTTGTAAGGATGTCGTAGCCATAGATAAGATATAGATAACAATAGCTTAACTTCTTTTCCAATGTGTACGTAGTCTTTGAGGATGTAGATGTAATTGTTCTTGCACAGGAAATTGCTGCCCAATGGTACTTAATTGTAGGTGGCACTGAAGTATTAATCACTTCTCAGTCATGTTTTCCTTCTGAAGCAAGTAATGAGTCTAGGTACAAGATCGATGTTGTATAAGTGCCTTGCTCATGTGTCACAGAGATTTTACTAGTATGCTATTTCACAAGGGCACTCACCTTGTAGAATCTTTACTCTGTCTTCTTAAATCTTCAACTGAATATTCATTCAGCCAAAATGTATGTGTCTACTGTATCAGGCTCTGTTCCCAGTGACAAGGATACAGCAGTGAACAAAACATGAAATGCATGCTTTCACAGAGTTTCCAGTCTAGTGAGTGGAAGGTGTCAATAAATAAGTAAAACATAGAGCGTGCTCGGTAGTGATACGTGCTATGGAGAAAAATAAGGCAAAGAACAGGGACAGGGTCTGTGGAGTGGGAAGTGAGCTATAATTTTAAATAGGGTGAGCAGGGAGGAAACTGAATCATACAGCTTTCCAGGAGAAGGCACTCCATGCAGAGAGAACAGTAAGTACAAAGGCCCTGAGGTGGGTGCTCACCTCTGCAAATTAATCTGGTTTGCAGATGTTCAGGGTCATGTATTTACTGTATTCAATTAATATTGTTGGTAAGAGCTCACCACTTGTGAATGTTATGAACATATTGTCCATATTTTCTGAATCCAGCATCGGGATACCTGGCATTGGTCCCAGTGAGAACAAAGTCATAGAATGACTAATGCTAGGTATATGGAAGCATATTATCTTCAGAACACATTTTTAATCCAAGCGTATGGTTATGTGATGGTTGCTTTAATGACAATTGCCACACTTGCTGGTGTATAAGATAAACATTCCAATTTTATAAGGAAATTTTGGGAGAAATACTTTAAATACAGGTTTTGAAAGTGATTTTAAAGTGTTTTTTTAAGGAGAAATTTTTTGTTTATGTAATACATTATGTTTTGTATCAGGAAGAATTAAATGTTCTAGATATATAGTAATAGTCCACTAACTATGAAAAAAGTATAAAATCATATCCTAAAAAAATTTAATGGTATCAGTAAATACAGATACATAGCAGGCAACAAACACAACACAGAAATGTGGTAACATAAAAACAAATACTGGTATTTGAGTAAATGCTGGTAACCAAAAAGCAAACCATAATAATAAATACATTAGAATATATCAATACATAGTACAAAGCAAAATTGTCAGTAAATTTGGTACAATGCAAGCATACATACAAAAATAAATTTATATAAACTTTTATATAAACCAAACAAAACTTGTTGCTCTCGAGACTATTCCGACTCATAGCTACCCTACAGGACAGAGTAGAACTGCCCCATAGAATTTCCAGGGAGAAACTAGTGATGCAAACTGCTGACCTTTTGGCTAGCAGCCGTACGCTTAACCACTGCGCTACCAGGGCTCCAAACTCTTATGCAAGTATCCATAAAACGTGGACACTAAAATTTGAAAGTGGTACAAAACATGAAACAAAGTAAGTTTGAAGGATTTCCAGCATCATGCTTACGCGTGTCATAGGAGCAACAAGCAAGGGGATAAAACATGAATTCTGTGGTACTTTCACGTGTATTATCGCTATAATAACAAGCAGGAAAAATGCAAACACAATCGTAAGGTTTTAATCTTTATTCTTAAGAGACTGTGCTGAAATCCACATTTTTTATTATTACAAGCAGTTACTGCATTTACTTAGAAACCAAGTCACTGGACATATTGTGCTTTTTACATATATTTTTAAGTTTGAAATGTGATTTAAGAAATTATCACTGTGTTCAAAAGACTCCTCTGAAGACTTTTCTGTGTTACTTTGCTAAGTATGTAAGGTTAATCTTGAACATAATGCTATAACATGGGTTATGTGTAATCAATTTATGCCAAACATGATAGGTAAATAACTCCGACTACCTCTGATTGATTATGGGGCCTATGTGGCCTTTTCTTGCGGTTATTTTGTGTTGCTGACTTCCACCACTAGAGGTAGCATCATCACCACTATCTTTTTGAACTCTCACCAACACAGCTCACCGAGTTCTATACACTTCTCATAATGTGAGCGTTCATGTGAGACACAGCAATTTTTGGATACGTTTTCTGGAGGGAATGCACCTTTTAAGTCAGTAACTATCTGGCCTTTTCCCCATTTATGAGCAAATATATATATAAAACCACAAACAAGACTTAAAGACATCATAATGCACGAAATGGCTATATGAATGGGTTATAAAATATACATTTAATATCAAGGAAGCTATTTTATAGGTAGAAGACAAGATAAGTATTTAATTGGAGTGGAAATAAGAGAGACCAGCAGTGGAAATATGAGCATGAACATTTACCCTGAGAAGAGCGGGTTTCAGTTGTTTCAATGATGGAAAATGAGTGATGGCATTATCACCGGGGGAAAAAATGGAGGAAATCAAAGGATGTTTTATTCTATGGCATGGAAGACTGGTTAGGATTTTTAAAATAATGATGAATTTGCTTTTACTTGTAGAAATAGATGATGAATTCATCAAAAGCTTGAAAATCCTGATTCCTTGGCTACTTAGTCCTGAGAGCCTAGATATTAAAGAGATCAATGGGAATAAAATCACCTGCCGAGGTCTGGTGGAGTACTTCAAGGTATTACTCTCATTTCTAGAGCATTTGTGAGTACTTAGATTTGACATGTATTGGCATGTAGTTCCTACATGAAACCAAACAACGTGGACTCTGGAATATGGGGGCACAGGTATGAGGTGTCTAAAAAATGATAAAAATTAGAGGATTCCCAAGAGAAGCTTGCTTTCTGTAATTAGTTTTTGAGGAAGCTCCTTAGAGATAACTTTACTGTCCCCTTTTATATTGGGGGAAATATTTCTTTGAAAGATAAACGTATCTAAGAGTTGGAAATGTCTCCCCCCACCCCCGGTTTTCCCTACATACTATGTACACCTTAGTCATGACCATACTGAATTTTACCACCATCTGAAAATCTTCCCAAAGGGGCTATACTGGACAAAATTCTTCCATGTTTCCTGTTCTCTCGACCAAGGGCCAATTATTTTAAAATTGCTTTTACTGGTTTACCTCAGATGGAAAATCACGGTAGGACCTAATACAACACTTTTACCAACCTGCATATGTAATGCAGAATTTCAGTTACCAACCTAATTTGTGGGATCAATGCTCCAAGGACTAAAAATGTCAATTTTTAAAATTCATATTTTGTTATTTAAAATGCTATCATATACCTCCTGTATGATCTACTTTTCATCTCTCAGCAATAAATGACATTTTATTTATTCATAAAATTTCTAGTTTTACTGTGCATAATGCTGTGGAAAAGGACCTTTACACAAATCTATTCCTTAAAGCTTATGACATCAACAAGGGACAAATTCCCGTGGGTAGCTGAAAGAGGGAGGTTACTATCAGCAGAGGGATCTGAAATAGTTTTAAAGGAGATGGCAATGAGTTGAGCTTATAAGACGGGTAGGATTGGCAGGCGGAAATGTGTAAAAAAGGCATTTTAAGAAAAGGGAGCAACATGAACAAAGAAAGAATTAAAGTTGAGACAAAATAATTATAAGTTCCTGAAAATATTTTTTGCACTGCCAAGACTTTAGAATACAATTTAACAGAATTAGAGAAATACTGGATGGAATTGTTTGAACATGATTTTTTTTCCCCCAGGCTTATATCAAGATCTATCAAGGTGAAGAATTACCACATCCCAAATCCATGTTACAGGTAATTTATTAATCAGGAGGCATAAAGTTTTAAAACATATTTGTCACCAAAGCTAAGCTTTCATGCTTATAGTCATATATGCTACAATCTGGCTGTCAGAAATTGCTGTATATAAATATTGGACAGAATGAGTTATTGGAAGACTATTTTCCTATTGTACCCATTTTGTGTGTTCAACTAAATAAGCATTTTTCACATATACCTGTAGCAACCGCACTTGTGCTGAAATATGAATTCTTTAAACCAAAGAGTTTCTGTTCTCTTTGTACCGTATTTGTTTATAAAACAGACTTATACTGTGATTTAGATTCAAACATGTAGCAAGCAGTAGAAAAAGGAGGTCCAGGTTTTAAGTGATCTCCACATTTAACATTAAAAAAAAAGGAGAAACTAATTTTTTTCTTTACATATTGTTTAAATTTCTCTAAGTTCTTAATAGTTCCTTTTTGTTATCAGTGATATATTGTTCTGTCAACAGTAGCCCTTAAACTTAAGTCATACACACACACACATAATTTGTATAAAATCTACTATATACTATTTCCCATGTTTTGAGTTTATATATATATTTTTGTATTTGGTGAGAGGCTTAAAAATATTTTTTAAAGGACAAAAAAATCTTCCAAATAAAAATTCATTTTAGAATTGTGGCTTATTGAATAAAATTGTTTTATGTATTTTGAAGCTTTGATTTCATTAATATTTTAAAATTGTAGAAATATTTCAATGTTTTCAAATTATTTGATGACTTTGGTTTCTTGCACATTTCTTGTACATGATGCTCTAACATGAGAACTGCCTGTGGAAGTTTAATAAATATGAACTCTGTTTTACATCATGTTTTGTACTTTGTCCAAAGGCCACAGCAGAAGCTAACAATTTAGCAGCTGTGGCAACTGCCAAGGATACATACAACAAAAAAATGGAAGAGGTAAGAATGAAATATGTTAAATAATGTTTCAAATAAAATCAGTATTTCCTTGATGAATTTAGTCTTTTCCAAGTCACTGTATATACATGGAAAGACGAGGTGGCTTTGCCTTATTCTTCTTCCTCATCCTTATATGTATGACAGTCCTATTTACTGTATTCCTAAAATATTTTTTAAACAAAAGAAAAAAAGCTATGTATGCACAATTGTGAAGGCATTTTAATTGAGTTGTTCCTATTTATAGTACATCCTTACTCCCCTTTTTTTTGGTCAAATCTTCCCAGTATAAGATTTATTGGCTAACATAGAATATGCTAACCTCCCCACTACACCTCCCTACATTACACAATTCTAGTATTCCCATCTTATAGACAAAAACTTTTAGGAAAAAAGAAACTAAACCTTATGGGCCAATATTTCTATATATTTCCATTTTTACATTCCAAATTTGGGTGCACTTTATAGTTGTGCATATATACTCATATGATAGAGGGATTTTTATTCCTTGAAAATATAAAATCAAAAGTAAATCTAACATGGTTGGAGCCATAGAGTCAAGGGAAATACATGGAATGATGTTTCTGACACAAGTAAAAGGTAGTTAGAGAGTATTTGCTATATACAGGTAGTCCCCGACTTAAACGATGTATTCGAGTTACGACCAACCGCACGTACGTGTTTTGTTTTGTTTTTTTTTGGTACGTCTTATTATTAGTAATATGTGTTGCAGTGTGTAATTTGCTGATGTTATCATTCTCAGATGTAATGTTTCCAACTCCCAAAGACAAATAAAGATTGGATTTATAGATACTGTAATAAAAGGTAATAATAATGAAAACTAAAAAAAGAAGGAATTCAATGTCAGAACTGACATGCTGGAGTAGCCGTCGGAACAGAACCCCGTCTTGAGTAGGGGACTACCTATAATTAAATCTCAAATAACCAAAGGAAATGGTATGGTTAATAGAGTTAAAATATGGTCCAAAAACATTTAGTATGCTTCTACTTAATGTCTAGAAGAAAATACTCAATGGGCTTCATTCAAACAAAGATCAGTGAAACTGCCAGAGAGTATATTTCACGAGTTTGCTTTGAGAGCTCATTGTTTTAAACTAAACTTCATTGGTCAAAATTACTTCAGTACGGCTAGAACAGTTTTCCTAGAGGAACCTGGATATAAGTAGTTTTCTTGACTTTGGATTTATTCTGGGAATGAACTGTTTTGCACTTCAGTATGTATTTGGTCTTTTCATCTTAAGGAGCTTAGATTAAGTTATGGATGTTATTTCCCATGTCAAAAAGAAAATAAAAATTAAGAATGACTTTATATGTCACCCATAAAATATCAGTTCCACTTATAATCACTCCTCATACAGATGGAGGGTGGAAAGATGTGGATCGACAAAACAAATATGCAGGTTCCTTCACATTATTAATGTGTCCTAACAAATTCAATTAGCTAAGTGAAGAATTTTGATACAGTTGCTAATTTTACTTTGCATTAAAAAAATACTTCTCTATTTGATACAGATTTGTGGTGGTGACAAACCATTTCTGGCCCCTAGTGACCTGCAGACCAAACATCTGGAGCTTAAAGAAGAATCTGTAAAGCTATTCCGAGGGGTGAAGAAGATGGGTGGGGAAGAATTTAGCCGGCGTTACCTGCAGCAGTTGGAAAGTGAAATAGATGAACTTTACATCCAGTATATCAAGCACAATGATAGCAAAAATATCTTCCATGCAGCTCGTACTCCAGCCACACTGTTTGTTGTCATCTTTATCACATATGTGATTGCTGGTGTGACTGGATTCATTGGTTTGGACATCATAGCTAGCCTATGCAATATGATAATGGGACTGACCCTTATTACCCTATGCACTTGGGCATACATCAGGTACTCTGGAGAATACCGCGAGCTGGGAGCAGTAATAGACCAGGTGGCTGCGGCCTTGTGGGACCAGGTAAGAATACGTTTAATTCTAAGTCAATTCATCACACAGATTTAGAT